ATGCGGGCAATAGAAATCCATTGTGAGCTGAACAACAAAGCTCCGAGAGCCTCCAGGCACCAAAACCAAGGCCGTCTTGCTTTTAAGTCTATTGTCAGCAAAGTCCACGACAAAAGCTTCCCCCTCTCCCAAAGCGTAGCTAGACAAAATATTCGCCAGGGACGGCCTGCATCCCTATCCCCTCCCCTACCCTTGGGACTGCTGCTCACCGAGCCATCGCTCGGGGTCGAGCCCCGGTATCACTTTACTGAGAGGACGGGTGGGCTTTGTCAATAAAAATCGGTCGCGATTTAAGCGACACGAGTCGCCAGCCGACAGAGTCGCGCTACAAACGAGTTGTCCCCGCCACCTGCCGTCCCGGGAGAGCCGGGACCAAACCGGCCCGAGAGGAATGAAGGCGTCGGGATGGGCTGTGTATTTCGTAGAGTGAATTTTGCGAGAATGGGAAAAAAAGATCGCAGTAGGAAATCATTATTAGAGATGTGAAAGGCCAAATGGCAAAATCCCAGTAGTAACAATGCATCTGTTCATTAATGTGTGAATGTGAGTAATATGAAAATTTAACGCAATTATAAGCCCCTCAGCAATCCTGATGGCATCAAATAGATTGTGGTGATCTGATCAGCGTTTCCCCTGTTGAAATACTGTATGTTAACTATTTAAAATAGTATTATATAGATTTTTTTCCTTTAGAAAACCCCATGTAATCATATTTAATTCATGTACTAACTTAGTTTCAAACCTCTCTTGACTTCAACTGCAATTTTTACATCAGGCACTTCGACAGAATTTTGATACAGAATCAGCAAATAATTGTCCTTCTGCTAATACTTAAAAAGAACTTTAATTCCGAAAGACAATAGCTTCCCCACCCTTTTAGATTTATCAAAATAAAGAGCTATATTAAATTACAGCTAGTTTAATTCTATTATATACCATGTTAACATATTGTACTTACATAAAATATGCTATTCATATGCTCAACCTATCACATTTCAGTAACTGCTTGTGAAATACATTATGCACCATATCTTGGAAACAAACATTTATTATGTCATTTATGTACTCTATTAAAAAAAGATTTGAAATTTACACATCTTAAATAAAAATAACTGTTTAAAAGGTTACAACTGTAGAGCTTTCATGAATAATACAGAAACAAAGTCATCTTTTGTTCAGCTTTTTTTTTTTTAGACTGCATTGGGAAGATGATGCTTTCAAATTCAGACTAGAAATAAAACACTGTATCTTGTTTGCCAAGCACTCGTTCTCTGGATTTATTAGAAAGTCAGTAAAACTTTGAATGCTTGCACATATAACACGCAGTTTGAAAACAGGGAAAGGTGGCCTGCCCACAGGAACAGCTATTCCTAAAACACTACTCCAACACTTGCCTTCCTCTTGGATTCACCAGAGCAATGTTGCTACTTCCAAAATCTGAACTGTATTGTGACAGATTTTTGATTTGCATCAGGATGACTATGTATCATGATGATCTATATTAGCATTTCCAAAAAGCTATACACAGTGTGCTCTGCCATGTTAAGTATCCTGACTTTTCAGAATGTCTCCTAATTCTGTTTTTGAGAAGAACCCAGGATTAGCCCCACTTATTCTTCTGAGCCCTACTTGAGCTGAGAAGATCTCCCATTACCTATTTGCAGTGTTAGTCCTACTGCACACAGTAAAACAATTCCAAGTCTATCTACAGCACAGTATGAATACATTTCCAAAAGAGTTGTTCACAAGTTTTTTTTGTGAACAGTAATTCGCTAATGTTTGGGAAACATTTTCGTTCCAGAAACACCACCAAAAGTGTTAAGTGTTGTTATAAAAGAGGACTTCAGGGAGGGCACCAAAGAAAAAGACCAAGATTGAAAGAATAACAGGAATACTTAAGTAAGTGTTTGTGAAGAGGAGACTGACTGAATTAATAGAGATACAAATGAATCCACAAAAATTATTTCTGCTCTCTCTGTTCAGCACATTTATCAGTCATTAGCTCTTCCTAGAGATATTTACAGCGCATTTTGTTTTTCTTGTTTCACCCTTGCCTCTGTTGCTTGCATATGCTTCTTCGCATCACTGTGTATGGCAATACCCACTGGTGAATGGCCCTCCGGCTGTGCCAGCCATTGTGGCAGCAGCACATGGGCTCCTCACTGCTCGCCGGCCCCTCTCCCTCCCTCCCTCCCTCCCTCCCTCCCTCCTGTCCCAAGCACCACCGAAGCCGACTCCCTCTTCTGCAACAATGAGACCTGGAGACTGATGCCAGCAGCCAGTAATTCTCACACAGGCCTTCAGCGCAGGGAATTAAGCTGCTTTCTTCGTGGTGTAAGTCCCACGTTAACTCCTCTGATTTGCACGTACAGATGCACACGTGCATCCATCCATGTTGGGCACACATACATATGCTGAATCGCTCTGACAGTACTAGAAAGCAAAGCATCTAAGTTAACATAAAATCGCTTTTTAATCTAACTTTTTGTACTCTAACAAGCATGCCACTGTCCTGTACATGTTCAAATGCATGTTCTGTATTCAATGTTTAAATATTGCTTCATTGACTTACTCGCTTAAAAGACTTAAAAGTTTCCACACTGAGGAAGGAGCATTTTGTTTCCAGGAAGTGGCCAAGGCTACAAAGCTGTAGCAAGAGGCACAATTTTTATCACTGTCTGGTAGACTTCTATTTAATTTAGTTTACTCCCAGAAGTGGCGTGGTTTTTTGGTTGGTTGGTTTGTTTTTTTCAGGCATTGTAACTCCCCTTTGGAGTTACTAATCCTACTCTCAATTCAGTGGCAGCGCAGATGCACATGTACCTGAACCTGCCTCAGCAGCCTTCCAAAAATGCAGTCCCACAGCCCACTATTCCCTTAAGGCCTAACCTCTCCAGTAGCTCTTTTCAGTCCATGCTCCAGGGTCACAGTCCTGGAAATCCACTTATAAAAGCTTAGAATGATCTTCATTGCCAAATCTCTTATTACCTCTTTCTGCTCCTGCTGATTATTTACTAAAAGCAAAACTTCAGTCTCATGCAGCTGCCTGCTTCCAGAGAAAGGAATGCAATTCCGCCATGCTGTAACCAGGTGCCGGACAGGGCTCTCCACATGCAAGGCACTTCCAGAAGAGCCATATTTGAAGAGGAAAGGGGAGAGCAAAGCTCTGACATTATAAAGAATAGACAACTATGACAAAACGGAAGGAGGCTGACATAAGTCAACCACAAGTTAGAGGAACAGTATGAGTCCTGGAGCCTCTCACATGGTGTCTGGGTGCCTGAGCATGGGTGCTCTTCCAAGGAGATGCCCAAAGTGCTCCCTCCTCTGCAATGACTGTGAACAGCTCTTGCCCTGGGATGAAAGAGAACGACGACTCAGAACAAAGTAAGAAAGATGTTTGGCCTCAGCAAGGATGATGACATGAAGTGTAGCAGAGTGGAGAGAAGCCAAGAGTTGCTCCATACCCAGCCAGACCACCAGACATTTCCTGCCAACACATGTCATTCCTAGAGGAAGGAGTATTTGGTCGGCAAAAACGATCATGAATAAACTTCAGCACTGGCTGATATACCTTCCACTACTGGCAAGCACCTTCCTTTATATTATGAAAGAGCTGGCAAATACCCTCCCATCCATTATTCACACTTTTCTTCTGCTACGGTCATAAATACGTTACACCTGTTGGCCACAGTTCCACTCACTATTTCTACAAGCCTCACCTATCGATGTGCCACCCCACTGGCACTATGTTCTGCGTCCATGCACCACAACAAACCCTTTCTGGCTTAAATCAGGAAACAAGATTAAGGGCAGATTTCCACTCTAAAAGAGCAGACAAGCACATCCACAGACGTAAGAAATTTCTCTTTTTATGCACCCCTTCTTTATTAAAAAGGTCTTACCTACACAAAATCAGCAACCATTTTCATAGCAAAGAAAATAAAGCAACTATTATGAAGAAATGGTTGGTATCAGCAGGTTACATAGACATACAGCATCTGCATACACATATGGTTCTCCATCAACAGAATCATGCTTTTAGGGAACTACTTGCAGCTAGGCAAGACATTATGAATCATGAGCAGGCACAACACAGAATGTGTTTAAATTTGGAAATCAAAGACCACACAACATACATTTTTCTCTTGCCTTCCAGGAAGTACTGCAATTTTTCACCAGTCTAAAAGCATTTTAAACTTTTGGAGAAGACATTAGGAAATGCCTCTATAAATGTAAATATTGTTCCAATGTAGGCCATAGTTGCTCAGGTGCTATAAGCAAAAGTACAGTGCTAAGTACAATACTACCTGGGACTATACTTTCTTCTCTAACTGGAAAGAAAGTAGTGTGCTGTTAGGTTCTTCGGTGTTTTCTTTTATACACAAAATGTTTTTGACCCTTGGGCACAAACACACAGAGCCAAATGAAATATTCGAGTTTCGATGAGGTATTAGGAAGCTATGGTGCTCTGGCCAGCACATCATAGCATGACTCTCACTACACCACTCCATCACAACGACTGTGCAGAAAACAGCTGGTCTACATATGTCCATGGGTGGCTTCCAAACCTACTAAAAAGCTCCCTTCTCTGGCAGGGATAAACAGCCTTCCTGGCTCTTGGAATCTCTAGTCCACCCCAGCCACATGTTAGCTCTCATAGCATTTTATTTTAGAGGAGAAAATAAACTTCTGTAGCCACAGATGATCTTAGTTACCTGTGTTAGTAACCTGTTAGTTATCAGGTTACCATAGTATTCTTGTTGCACATACTTGCATAATTTTGTGTACGCTTAATCATACAACAGTTGTTTTGAAGTTGCTGGCTCTCTTTTGCAATACCTATCATGCTGCATTAATGAAGTATACACTATAAGAATGATAAGACATTTTTATTGTGATTTCTGGCACAAGAGTATGGCTTCTTGTGCTAAAAAAAATAATTCACATAGCCAGAAAAGGCTCCATAGCACAATAAATACATTATTCAAGATTTTTAAATCTAAATCAGTAATCCATGAATGCCACTAAAAACATGATTCTACTCTATCTACAAATAGACAAGTGGTTATTTTTACAACTGCTCACTAATGCATACTGCTAGTCTTAGAAAAAAGTTTCCTAAAAACACAAGGATGTTTATTAGGAAGCAAAGGTTAGAGTAGTCTTCAGATACACTGTACTACCAGTTGTTGAACTAATTATCCCTTAGGATGCAAGCGAGGAGCCAGCAAACCACAGCACAAGGCAGGAACACATGGCTAAACAGGACAGGGGGAGGGAATGGGGACTTCTTAGGCTAGGTTTGTGGCCAAAACCAGCATCTCATTCAACTACACCCTCAGAAACAGTCAGGCTATTGTCTGGAGTTTTTACAGTTTCCATCACCTGAATGCGCTGGCAGTCATGT